TATACGCGTTATATAACTCTTGTCGTAATTGAGTGTAGGGTCGAGGCTCAATAGAATACCGGATACTAAAAACAATCGAGTAAATGGCTTCCCAAGTTTCTACAACAGTTAGGGAGGCGTCAAGGTTTATCAGAGCCTGTTGGGTATTTCGTGTGTATTCGATAGCTGGATTCTCAACGGAATACCAGTTCCAGAAATGGTCAAATTGTAATGTATTGGGTAGAGGCGGATGGCAACGGATACACGATGGGTCGCGATGATAAAAGGTAACTTGATCTATTCGGTTATAAAGGCGATGCCAACGGTTATGTATTCGGTTCTGCGTAAATAATATCTCGTAATCGACCATACAAAATAGTAAGGGCCGATCCTTATAAGGAGCACCAAGTTGTTACCACCGATTTGTGTAGTTCGGGAGGGCAGTAACAGAAATATATACGGGTTAATTTATAGAATTTGACTAACAATAGGCAGTAATCGGCAATAAATCGTGAGGAAATGGGTAGGGTTTATCAACAATTAGCAATAGATTTATAAACAATGTATATTTATTGAATGTATAACAATCGGAAATAAAATTGACAATAAAAACAATAACAAAATGTATAAAATTGGAGTGATAGGAGGGTTCTTTATTAACAATTACAAAAGAATTTCCTAATATTACTGCCTCTGCCGGCGCTCTGTAATATTCCCAAGGTTCTATCTAAGTGTTAATAATCGAAAAATCACTTCTCCGAAACCTCAGCGGAATTTCTTCCCTTAAATATTATTCAAAATTTAGGACGATTAGTGCTTTGGCCAACTCGCCCGTTATTCAAATCGTCCAAAGTACAACTCGTTTTCCGGTCAAATCGTCCATTGTACGAATCGCCCATCACAGCCATAATTGATTCCCACCAAGCCATACGCCACATTTCCTATAAACTATATATATAAATTGTATAAATAAACTATATAAATAAAATAAACTATACTATATAAATAAACTATATCAAATAAAAATAAAATAAACTAAATATAAATAAATAAATAAATAAATAAAATATACTATAAAAAAATAAATCATATAAGAATAACTATATAAAAAATTCCCGTGACACTAGTGACTATCAAAATATTAAGATCGACATAAAAAAATTCCTTTTTGGGAATTTTGTACAACATAACTTGAATTTCATTGGACAACAAAATTTCTTTTTTTTTGGATTTTTGTTAATGTCACGTGACAACGACCTAACTTCTTATTAACGGACTACCCCAAAATGTCACGAAACGGCCGGCATTAAGAAATTAAGAAATTAACTATGTGACAAATAATGTGTGACAAATAGGCCAATACTTGTAGGGTACGTAGGGGAAATTTTATTAACGCTACTGCGCCACAATAAGTAAATTCGATTTTTATTCGATAATCGATTTAAAATCGATTCTTATCGATTTTCGATAAATTCGATTATTGTAAAATCGATTCCAATCCCTATTTGTGAGATACATAGTCAAAATTAAATTAGCCTTTTATCAGAATTAAAATTTTTAAGCCATATATTGTATCCGGGTGGAGACGTATGACCAATATTAGCTTTGCCCATTGTGCTCCATGGCTCCTGAAACTCTTTCGCATTTATGGACTTGTACCGCTCCGCACAGTGAGTCTGCACACCTTCCGCACGGATGACAGCCAGACTTATCACATCTTTACCTTTCTCTTCGACTGCTTTCGGATTAACATTCGTAAGAAACTATTCTCAAAGGGGTATCTTAGGCAGTGCGGTAAGGTAATATTAATACTGAATTTTCACCAAAAAGTTATTATATTAAGTTTGTTAATCAGACAAATAATTATATCTATCTTTCAATGGCAATCTTATCGAATATTATGGTAGCAAAAATGATGCAGATAATAATAAAACCTTAATCGGTAATACATTAACAGAAGGAAATTTTATTAAGAAATGTGCTTTATAAGGTGTGTTCAAATTTATGATATCTTTGATTTGGTGTCCGAACTCCAAATATTTTTAAACATTTTAACCTAATTTATGTATTTTGTTAAAAAAAAAATTATTTTAAGATACTGACTTCGTTAAAAGACTTCCCTGGATTGCTAAGGTCGTGAAATACGTGTTTATGCAAAATTTTTTGAAATTAGATCACTTCTTAGAGCAAATATTCACCATACGCCTCAGAATGCAGTCAAGTCTATATTAATCATCATTAATTAAAATGATACAATATGAGCATAGTAAAATTACTGTAAAAGTGAAGTATTGAATCAAGATTTAGCTGCTGGTGTAGGACGTGCAGATTGATAATACCCTTGTGCGGTTAAATTTCTAAAATTCATCACGTGTATAGAAAGATCCACCAATGGGAACATAGATTGATGTTTAATAAAGGCGTGATAGCTTTTAGAACGCTTGGAGTACGTTTAGTCTCGCCATTCAAAAAAACGTCGCAATACTGTCATATTAATTCGTTAACGTTTTTTAATTTTATTTTAAGAGTTGAATTGTCATCTGGAAGAATAATATTAAAAATGGCAGAATCTTTGAAAAGAAGAGGTTCACAAGTGAAAATATTTTTACGCCCATCAAAAACTAGAGTGATATTGTTTACTGTAAGCACCGCGAAAATCGATGGAATGTATTTCATTTGAAAGCAATAGTTATTAATAAAACAAGGGTATATTTTTTATATATTTTTAGTAAAGTTAGTAAAATTTTAATAACACATATCTATTTTATCCGAATAACATTAATTATTTGAATGCAATAAAATTTGAACAATGGTATATTTACTACAAATAAATAATTTACGATAAAAAGATTTAATTCGACTTATCACCTCCTTACCATGAAAAGTTAAATATCTGTCTAGCTCTTTCCTTTCTTTTTCTTTCGAGGATTAATTTCTGTAATTTTATCTGGAATATGTTCCCGGATTACTACTGTATTTCCAAAAATTATAATAGCAACCGACAATATCCTGAACAATTATCTTCAATGATAATAATCTTACTATATATATCGAGAAAATTAACGGGCTCTTTTGTTCATTTTAGAAATGCCTGATTGCAAAACGAGATGATGATGTTACCAATTTGTAAACAATTTCTTGATTAATCTTTACATTATCCCTTTTGACCGACCTGTTTCGCTTTTTTTTTGCTAGTTGCTACAAATGTGCATGGAGCTGACGCAAAAAATTAGCATGTATTATACATGCCATTAGTTTTTGATCACAGGTCATATGAAATTTATGAAATTTTCGATTAAATTAAACTATTCAGACACGAAAGTAATGTACGGTACCTGTTGCCTGTCGGTAAAATGTCTGTTGATGGGATATATGTGTTGTCAGGGACAATATCATGTTGGGGTTCAGTAATATTTCGTGTCGGACAATCGTTATTGGGCACGTCGTCGGAAAAATGGTTTGACGTAACCAATGTGCAATTGTGATCAAATATCTCACTTTACAGTTAACAAAGTTTCATCTTATTTATCCATACATAGTTCTCAACTTGTTTTGCTTGCTACTAACACATTATTTCTTCCCCACAAAAATATCGCGATCGATTAATTGATCGATTACACATTAGCCACGTCAATTAAGGACAATAAACTTGATCGATTAGATTACTTTCGACAATAATGAAAATTATAAATAAAATGTACAATACTCATCGAAATTTATTGAAATGAGCAAATAATAACAGAAAAAGATAAATTATTTAAATTACAAACTAAGAATAAATATGTTTTAATTTATAATACATTAATACATTATGTAAAGAAAAAAAATACTAAATATTCGATGTTAGAATTATTACCATTAGAAATATCTAAACCAGCTTGTTTTCCTGAATGAAAATTCGCGTTATTAATAACATCTATAAAATAAAAAACAAATTATATATTGTTGATTTTCATTATTATTATAAAAACATTATATAAAAAATATTAATTTTCAAACCATGCTTCTTTATTCTACAGTTTCTTTTTTACAACCATTTTGAATATCTAAAAAAATTATTATATTCGATTAAAAATAATGTTACATTATAATCAAAACTTTAAATTGATTTAAGAGTTATTAATTTATTATTTTAAAATTAATTTCAAACTTTAATAACGAACACTTACCTTTACATACACTATTTGATTTTGATTTGTTAACAAATTCATCAACTAAAAACAAAGAAAAAATCAATAAAATTCAATTATATATTAATTTAAAGCTAAAAATACTTACGTTCATGAGGAATATTAAAACTATATAGTTTACTATGGAATACTAAAATTATCAGTTATCAAATAAATAAATAAATTTATCTGTTAAACCTTAAAAGTATTAAAAAAATTGAAAATTTCTTAATTTACACGGGTGTTCAAAACACGTATCACGTGACCTTATTACAATATATTTTGCAACTTCACTTAAAGCGTTAAAAGATGGACTATTTAACAAATCCTTTTAATTTAATTCCGGCCAACATTAAATGATTGACACCTTTTTTGAAACCCGTGTTTAAAACACCCGCGTAAAAAAATATACCTTCTTGTTCTTCTATTTTGTATTTTTATTTGAATAAAAAGAAATATTAATATGCTTTTAAATATAATGTAATATTATAAAATAATATTAATATTCATACCTTCTGTCGCATTTTTTGGTTCAGGAAAATTTTTAAATTGATAAAATTTACTAGTATGATTACTCATATAATCATCACTTAATTGTAGGTGTTGATTAGAAACTATTTGCTCTTTAATTTCATTTTGATCATTATTTTGATCATTTTGAAAATATATTAATAATTTTTGTATTTCAACTTCTAATGTATCAGCATTAGGTCTCTTTATTGGATCAGCATCCCAACACTGTTCCATTAATTTTTTATATTCTAAAGGAGTTCCCGGTATTAATTTTGGTCTCATTCCATTTACTATTTCCATTGCAAGATCATAATTATATTCATAATTAATAAAGGGTGGCTGTCCAGACGAAATTTCCCACATAAGTATACCAAAACTATAAATATCAGATGCAAATGTGGTTTTTTTTCCTGTAATTACTTCTGGTGCTATATAAGGAAGATTTCCGTATACACTATTTAGTGATTTATCAACAGGTCCACAAAACCCGAGATCACTGATCCGAAAATGTCGAGTATATTCGAATAATATATTTCCAGAATGTAAATCTCTATGAATCGCTTTTTCATTATGAATTCTGCGAATGGCATATATTATGTCATAGGCGATCTGAATTTTTTCTCTCCACATGAGTCTATTATAATTTTCTTTCAGAAATCGTCTTAAATCCATTTCCATCTCATTCATTACGATCATATAATTCCCACTTGATGGATTTTTCGTTAAACCATAACATCTTACTATTTCTGCCCATTTATTACTTATAGTTAAATGAGATTTGCTCTAAAATAAATATTTAATTATTAACCAATTCCAAAAGAATAATATAACAATATTTTTAATTACATACCTCTTCAAACCATCTGTTATCGGCATTTTCAACATTTTCTAACTCTTCAAGTATTACATGCTGCTCCCCGAGCCTCGTTAATTGCTTCTTTTTCAAATCCCATTCATCATAACGACCATTTTTCCAAATTGCTTTATAAATGTTAGAATATCCGCCTTTAGTTAAATACTCAACATTTTGTAAATGTTTAAATGGAATCCATTCAATTACCCTAAGTGGAGAAAATGTTTCCTTCTGACATCTTCGTATTAAATTATTAATGTCTTTATTTCCAGATGTCCAACTTGGAAATTTTTTTATTAAATAATTTCGAACACAATGTTCACAATATAATTGTGCTAAACATTTTTTTCGACAATTTTCACAATTTCTTTTTGTTCCCTCATTATTGATAATTTTATAATAATCATAATCTTTATATAATAAAAATATTATATATAATTTTTCATCATCTGTAAGATTTTCGTCGTCAATAATAATTTGTTTTCTAAATTCATGTCTCTTATAAAGAGTATCATGAATAGTATAATCTACTAAATCATATGCTCTATTAATTGCAGTCCAAACGATCTCTCGAATCTCAGTCATCACGTTAATTATCGCTCAATTTTATAAAAAGGGAAGATTTTGAAATTTATAAAATAAGGAAGATTTTGAAATTTTTGAAATTTTAGAAATCGGAGTTTCATGGGTTTTCAACTCTAAATATATAAGTTTCTACCTCCCAAATTTTTTTTAAGTTTTTGTGCAAAGTAACAATTTCTAATTTCAAACTTTACAAAATCTTATATCAAATCTATAGATATCGACATCTTTTCATTCATAAATATTTACAGTAACTATACAATGACCGGAATATAGATATCCAAATTCAACTATAAACCTTTCAAACCTTGTCTTAGGTTAATTATTAATTATTTTAACCAATAAACTAAAGAATACAAATATAAGTAAACTTCTCTTTTACATAAATAATATATGTTAGATTTACAACGCGATTTCCGAGATATCCATTATTGTATACTATACAATTTGCAAAAATGTAACAATTTCCGGTATCCTGTATTTTACATTAAATTTCATTTCTCCGAAATTGATTGTAACAATCAATAGGACAGTGTGATGGGTGAGTACGCAAAAATCTTAGGTTACGCGATGTAAGTTGCAAGTGGTCACATAAATCTTACGGAATAATAAATTAACATTAGCTAATATATGTCCCTGCCCATAAAAGTCATGCATAAAATCCTAATTCCAAATTAATAAGACAGAATATATAAAAAAAAAAAATTATTCCAAATATTTACAAAATTAAATTTAAGTCAACAGTTATTTGTTTCCGTTTTCAAAATGGTTGAAAATGATGCCGATCACGTAAAGGTGGTGACAAAACCACACAAAAAAATTTCAAAAAAAATGTGTAATGTTGGTAAAATATCACGTGATTGATAATCATGACCCTGCGTTACAATGTTACATTATACACATTACATATTTTTTTTTCTCTGAAACATTCCTTTGTGGTTTTGTCACCACTTCTGAAACCGCAATAAGCGAAGGATTGAAGTTTACAAAATTAAAAAAAATAATTATAAAATCGAGTACTTCTAGCTTAAGACGTGATTTTCCATATATTGCTCATCAAAGAGTTAAAACACTTTCTATAATACATTCGTAATACATTAAAAGTAGAAATTTTGTATAATTTTAATTCTTGCGCGTCATTATTAGTTTGTTACAATAATATCGGGTAATCATTTCAAAGTTTAAAAATAGAAAATCACACGATTCAGATAATAACATTACCCCCAGATCATGAAAGTTTTTGCTATTATCCTTTTATCATTGTTTTGGTTTTGTTATATCTGATGTACCTAATATTAATATCTGAATCTATTCACTTTCGTTATATTCCTATTTAGGTTATTTAATTCGAATATTCTCAAATAATTTTGTATTCCTAGATTGATTCATATTTAAAATTTTTTTTTTAAATCTGTATTTCAGATTCTTAGTATTGTCCATTAATTGAAAACCAATTTTAAAAAAGATTATGCAATTAAAATATCTAACAGTCTTTCATGATTTTCCTTATTAATATTGTTATGGGTGATGTTTATTTAAAAGGATAAGCTAGAAAGTCTATCCACAGTTGAAAATGCATACAGGAAATTAATCTCCGTGGTATAAACCAGTTATCAGCCTCGATCTCATTATTATCGTGACGATCACGGCTTCCAAATATTACATAAATTTTTGATCATATTGGGAAATACCTGTCTTTCATCTTTCATGTAATTTAAAAGACAAACTAATTTCATTGAAAATATTGGAACATTGATATATAAATATTTGATAAATAATTTCCCCTACGTTAACGGTATCAATTCGTCACGGTATTACAGCGAAATAATCATTTAATCCGATGTCAAATTTTTTTAGGATAAAAAATTTCAAATATACTGAATTATTTTTATATTTATCTATTTATCGTAGTTAAATATTTAATTTTATTATATAATAATTACTATATAAGAATTTTTTGAATTAGATGATAGAATAGAGATTTAAGACAATAATAATTCTTGCATATGGAATGGGTAACAGCTACATTCATCCATTCTATTAACTAAAACATGTAATTAGAAGATAGTGTATCCATATTTTAGATTTCTTTATTCAAAATAATATCTATATATTACCAAACCATAACTATCTATTTGCCGCGATTACATTACCAAACCATAAATTATTATTTCAAAATAAAATAGTTACCAACATTTGACTTAAATATATTACGTCTCATACCTAGCATGCTTCTTAAAAAAAGACATCATATTTTCATACACTAAAAATGTAGTACATGTTCCAGGCAACACGCGTATCAAGTTAGGTGCCAATCCTTTATAAAATCCAAGGATGCTTTCAGTCCTTTTATTACCAAATAAAAAGGATTTAATTAAATAAGTCACTAAATTAAAATGATAAATATGATGGAAGAATTATTAAACAATACCTGTATACTTTTTTTATTGTATCTATAACACCATTATATTTAATTTCAGTCCTTTGATATTGTAATCTTGCACGAACAAGTTGATATGGATAAGTTATTATTGTCGCAAATATTTTTGATGTTGCTGCCATTAAAAGATATTCCATATTATTCTAAAAAAAAAAAATAATAATGAACAATTAATTTCACATTCATTTCGATATTACTTCAAATATTCTTCTTAACACGTACCAATCTATCAGGATCTTTCATATTAACTTTAAATCTCCACTTTTTTAATTCCTCATAGGCCATAAATTGTAATGCACCATGAGATACACCAAATAATGCGGGAATCATTCCTTTATACAATCCTTTAATTCCTTCGTATCTAGCTATTTGATATAACCCATCTAAATAACAAAAATTAATTAATAAATCTATAATTAAAGAAAACATAAGACTAAATAAACATCATCTTACCAAATAATCCTTTATATGCTCCTGGATCTGTACGATCTGTTGCGCACATTCTTGTTTTTACTACCCAAAACGGATTTGTAAAAAATGCAGTTATCGCGCCTAATATAATAATAAATAAATATGATTGAATAAACGCGGAAATCTTGAGAATTTTTCACGTAAGTAATTGTTAGGAAATTTTGATTTTGACAAAATAAAGTAACGTGGTAAAAAAATTGAATTAATAAAATTAATAAATTCGTTATTGTATACCTGCTTCAGCTGATGCTGCTAAATGTTGTGTCGGAGAAAGTATTGATAACTTTTCATCACCTGCCATCCTCTTTTTAGTCAAATCATAACTAAAGTAAAAAATTTTGATCAAAAAATGAGTATTACATTTTTTTTTAAAAAAAAGATATCTTCCTCACTTACAGATAAAAATAAAATCCCCAACTAGAAGTAGCACCAGCTAAATTTGGTGCAACACCACGATATAACCCTATAAACTTATTCTTTGATACAATGTTTTTCATCGTTATAAATGTAGCTCCAAACTTATGTTTTCGCCTTGCAGTTTCATCAACTAACATAATTAAAATATTAATTAACAAGATCATCTTTTTTATTATGGATGAATTATTAAATCAAAAATTGAAGAAAGTGAATTTGAATAGTTTGAACTTATCAAAATAGTCAACTTACCGAATTAACCCACCTTGAAATCTCGTTTTTACTAAATCTAATGGATGTAAACATAATGTAGTAACGGCACCCGCTGTGAATCCTGCCATTGCATGATCCTATTAAATCACATAATAAAAATCTATGATTAAAAAAAAAATATTTTCACAATTATTTTTTTTTTTAAAAAAAAAAAAAATCTTCCTATTATACGTCACGATAACCATCGGCGTATGTTAGAACTTCCCAAAAATAAATAAATAATTACCACAGCAGTTGATCCAGAAAATGATTTTGCCATATCAATTATTTAAAATTATATATATTTAACATTTTAATTTTTTAAAAAAATTGGAAACAAGAGAGCAACCAATTTTTTTTTTACATACCGTATTTCTAAATTTAACCAATAGGTCACAAATCTTTGATGATCAGAACTAGCTAAATTGGGTACTAGGTTACGGGAATTAATCTGGAAACTTATGGCTTATGTTTATACAGTATCATGTGATGCATCTTAAACTTAAATATGAATTTGATCGACACTCGCTCTTTTCAAAATTCAATTTTTTTTTTTTTTAAAAAAAAATAAAATGTCAAAATTGACAACTGATTGTCTTTATATTATATTTAATGAACTTAAAAGAGATATTAAATCTTTACGTTCATTCCTTTTAGTTGATCGACTTTGGTGTGAAACAGTTGTACCTATTCTATGGAGAAATCCTTGGAGATTTTATGAACTTATAGAATTTACAAAAAAGAACCAAAATTTTATTAAATTTCTATATAAAACGCTCATATTATTATTACCACCTGAATCTAAAGAGCTTTTAATTAACAATGGTATTATTTTATTTCCTACTACATTCAAAAAACCTTTATTCAATTACGTTTATTTTATTAAATCCTTAAACATTTACGTAATTAATCACACGGCTCAAAAATTCATAGAATCAAAACATAATAATACTGCTGAGAAGTTCTCTATCGTTAATCAACATCAACCTAGTGATAATTCTCAATTAAATTATCATAAATTTCTTTTTGAACAAGAAATTTTAAAAATGATTATTAGTCAATCTCAAGGATTAAGACATCTTTCATTAGATAATGATAACATTAAACAATTTTATTATTTACCTGGAGCTAAGGAAAGTCTCACCAATCTTGTTTCTTTAACTTGTGGCCTCGAAGTTGATCCTTTAATTTTTTATGGTCTGGCACAAATCTGTCGTAATATTAGAAAATTACGTATATATGATTGTTTAACTGAGAATGATGGATTGACCTCTTTGATTATAGCACAGAAGAATTTACAATATTTTATATGTGAATTTGATCGCTTTGATTATAGACATTTTGTATGTAAAGGAATAGGAAATGCTTTAGTGAAACAAGCACATTCTTTAAGATATTTTGATTCATTTGATGGAGTTACATTTCATCCTTCTATATTTAAAAATTTTGTTAATTTACGTGAATTAAAATTAGGTGATGGATCATTAATTAGAGATTATGATCTTCATTTGCAACAAGCTATGCTTCCAAGTCTTCAATATCTTGAAATAGGATGGACATCTCTTTATACGATAGCGAAAATTATTCAATCAACTAAAGGAGATTTAGTTGAAATCAAGGTTATTGCAGGACAAAATTTTACAAAAAAGAATAGTAAAATGTATCTTAATTCTATTACAAAACATTGTCCAATGTTAAAGATGGCAACATTATTTTATTATGGTGATAAAGATGATAGTGAAATCAAGGAATTTAAAAAATTATTTTCGTCATGTTTATTTCTAGAACAAATGGTTCTTATCCGTTATAAAGAACATGGATTAAAAGATTATGATAATGAATTATTGGAAGTATTGGGAAAATATGCTCCTATAAGTTTAAAATCTCTTCAAATAAATAATTTATGTTTTTCACCAGAAAGCTTGACAGAATTCCTTGAAAAATGGAAGCAGAGAAAAATACCCTTATCTTTCTATTATATTTTTGAAGAAGATATATTTAAGAATATAATTAATGAATATATTAAAGAAGGAGTCATAAAAGAATTTAAAGAGGTTGATTTTGAAGATTTTTTTTAAAATTTTGATCATGATTTTTTATGATTTTAAAATAATAATAATAATAATAATAATAATAATAATTTTATTTTTTATTATAATTTATTTTTTTTTTTGATAAACTTAAAAGTTTATTTATAATGTACTGTATAATTTAATAAAATGTAATTTTAATTATTAATCGGTTTCTCGAAGTTGTTTCTCTACTTAAAATTCATATTTACGTTAATACTTTATCATAAATTATCTATTATTTTATTTGTCATTGCGGCGGATTTATGAAATTTGGCAAAAACCCCTGCTGCGCACTTGGGAATTAAAATTGACTTACAGAAACATTAAGCTTTTTTCCTAAAAAATGTCAAATAATGACGCGCCTTTAACAATTGTTTAGGTAAAGGGAAAATTGGTTAGACGCAAAGATTTGGGGTACAAAAAAATTTTTTTAGAGCTCATTTTGACTGTTCACTAATAAATTTGGGACTTAAATAGAAATTTACTGTCAAATATTTATTTAATTTGACATGACGGACAAATTTTGGGGTATTTCATAAATCCGCCATGATGTGAAGTTGTGAACTACCGCAAACGCTTATTACCTGAATGAACATTTGTATTAGGATAAATTAGTTTACACAATTTCAAATTCTTAAATTCGTAGATAAGAACCGGCATAATGAACAGTTAGACGCAAAAATCATACTGGGTGTAAAATTTAAGCGAGTAAATGAATCATCTGAATAAAGTTAGGAGAAACGTGTTATTGGACATATAATTTAAATTCAACATGAATTGATCCAGAAGAATTTATTTCTTAAATACAAAGATGATTTAAATCCAAATAAATTTCGTCGATATAAAGATAATGAATAATATAACGAGAATATTATTTTATTAATCTTATAATAAAAATTTCACAATAAAGTCTATGTCTAGGTTGGAACAAAAATGTTGTTATCCCATTAATAAAAAAATACTTTATTAAAGATATTATAAACTTTAAACCTGATCAAGGTCAATCGCAACTTTCAAAGTTGTTAGTGAGCAAATTATATGAAATAAAATTGCCTAAAAATATATGCAATTAAATACTGAATATTTTATAAGCAAAAAAAAACCTAACTGAAAGAAATTGACGGACTTTTATTAACTAAATGCTATCAAGTAACTTTCTTTCTGATCCTAAATGGCATAAGCCAATTTCTATATCAAATGCATATATTTCAGTGATATGGACCATTGTATACCCTTATATTCTTCCAGACCTCTTTCATTAGCTATATGAGTATTATTTCACTTAAAGCTTGATTAGTTTTGGATAGGTGGAATAAAATGATTAATATATTTTATCATCTAAATAAAAATTGGTCCTCCGCCGCCGATGACGCCTTGTTTTTGATAATGTTGTTCTTGTAATTGCGAGACAATTTGACGTGACAAATTTCACATAGCTACAATATAGTCGCAGCTTTTCGTATTACCGGAAATACCGGCCATAGTACCCCATATATATAGTATACTGTATACCTCAAAAAAATTTTCCTGAATTTTAAAATACCCGGATATTATACATTGATATTTGTAAAAACCTGGATATAATACTAATAAATTCATTTACCCCCTCTATGTATAGTATCCACCATGCAAGTACAAGTTCAACCCTCCGAAATTTGTAAGATACCTGAATTATGGCCCGTGATATACGATAAATGGAATTTAACATTCGATACCATGTTTTACATGTAAATAATTACATATATCAAACAAAATTTCTAAAATTAATTATATTAATTTATAATTATTTGTACTTATAACTTGTGGACAGTCCTTACTCTAAATCTCGCTTAACTATTGTATAATTTACTTCGTTATCTTAGTGAAAGAAAAATAAAAAAATATATTAGAATAAAATTCTAAGTAATGAAGCGGTTAAACTTTATCTGATGAACAGTAATCCTACTAAGAGCCACACGTACGTTAAGAATAGGGCAACAAAGACCACATGATAAATTTCACGATACATGAAACCCAATTTCTAGTAACGTGGAAACATGTCAGCAGCGGAGTTACCACCATATTTAATGTAGCCAATTTAATGAAGTTCAAAACCTATGCACCAAAGCCCGTACAAGCGTCGGCTGGACAATATTGAATTTGTGCAAGATCCCGAAGATGTGAACTAACTCAGTAGTATGAGAATATGAGAAGAACGTTCCCAGCAGGCTTTCACATGCTGTAGCCATGAAGAGATTTCAACTCCTATCGCATACCTAATAAATAGAAGCACCTAAAGGAAAAAATTTGCCTTTACTTCATGCTTAGCGATGGTAATTTCATTCAAAGGAGGATTACGGTCGTATCTTCTCAGGTGTTAGCGAAAGAACCTGGTAATGACACATAGACATATAGCCAAAGGTATTCCCAAATATGGAGTCCGAGCAAAAAATTAATATAAAAATAAAAGTAACTTTCACAAGCATCATATCCGTGATCTCTATAACTAGCAAAATACCCACTTTGAGAAAGATACCTTTTGAGATTTTAGCTAGGAAGCTGAGAGACTTGGAGAATACGTTGACACTTAATAATATCTGTTTATAAACAAGAAGTTTGAAGATTAAAATATAAGGATAAGAAAAGAACATCGAAGAGGGTCTCGAGCTTGGTTAGGAGAGCTTGCTTGTTCTTATATGATTCACGGGTCTTCGCAATCTTAGCAGTATATGCTGTGTTATCCGAAAAGAGTTTTCAGGCTACGAACTTCACGTATACTATAGGAGACTTTGCCGTTTGGATTTATACAATGAAAAAATAGATTAACTTTTAAACCTAAGAACCCCTTCTATTACCCTTCTAACCTTAAATCTCCTTTCTAAAGCTTTACATTAAATTTGGAAAATAAAAGTGATTTTATTTAAAAGCAACGCGTTTAAATACATAATTGTCAATGTAAGCCTTAGCTATATAAATAAAAGATATTTGCTTATTCCAATCCTTGATTTCATCTCCAACTCAGCCTATTTTGATTTGAAAGGTTGGTTAAGTCATTTTTAGTTGCCAAGTTTCGATAATATGAAGGGGAAACCAACATTTTGCCAGAAATTTAATTATTGATAATTGATTCAGCTTTGGTTATTCGGTCAATAAAGTCTATTAAATTATATTTTTTACATTTAAAATATACTACCTTTTCAATTGTAGAGTAAATAGAAAATTTTCGACTAATGTTTAGGGAAAAATCATATGCCCCTGCCTCGCGAATCGAAATAAAGAAATAATCAGAAAAGTTAACTTTGATTGATTAAAAGATTATATCTCAATTATTACATGACAGGAGTTTTCTCACCTATTCTACAATTCTTTCAGTATTTCTAGTTGTTAATTAAGAACAATATTCTAGAATCTTGATTTAATTGTTCTATGTACAGTATGTTAACAAACAAATGAGATTTTTATCTTCTCGTGCATATCTAATATAACCATTCTATACATGTAAAAATCCAAGAATCTCTCCTTGAGAAAATAAAATTTCCTTAGATCAAATTAATTCTTGCTAGTAACGAAACCTTTTTAACTACTTTTAAGTGATATTATTTATCAGCAGGAGGAAGTCTGGAACAGTTGAATTTTTTAGTATCATCAGTGGCATCATCGTTATTAGTATCGATTTCTTAAATTAATCCTGTAGTCATTTATCGTCATAATTAATGTTCTTATGCTTATATTATCTATAGTGTTTGACGTTATTCTTGAATGTATATAACTGAAGGTTGAATCTTAAATTCGTCTAATCGTCATAAAAGTGTAATAAGAGATTTAATATCTCATAGGATTGTAAGCAAAATTCCACAATATATAAACATATATAGCCCTTCGCTTCGCTCCGAACAATAATTTTAAACCGACAATGATATTTTTACCAATTGACATACTTGATTAACTTGGAATATTCAAAGCAATAATGAGTTGTTTAAAAAAGAGGCTATTTTATATCTTTTTACATCTTTTTACGATATCCTATCTTGGAAATGTATTCAATTCTAAAATCTTGATTCGCGTTTACGTTTCTTTCGGTTTGATGCAACATTCGATATTTTATATTTAATATTTAGAAATCAATCATCTACCGCAAAACTTGACTAGAATATTTTTGGTATGAACAGGAAAATTTTTTTTTACAAATCGAAAAAATCTAATCATGAACTGAATAAATATCAAACATTGAAAGTTTTTTAGGATGATTTAATTACAGACGTATTTGCAAATGCGTTTGCTTTCCTTCTCATAATCGACTTTTCTGTTACATGTCTTGAATATACCCACGCGTGTAGGGATGCCAAAAGTTCGGTTATAACCGATCATAACCGGTTTTACCGGTTCGGTTATCGGTTCGGTTTCAGCCCAAGACCGACCGGTTAACCGTCAGTTTTATATATAAAAAAAAACCGATCAAAAAACCGATCGGTTAATTGTAAATTTTTAATATATTCCGAAAAAAAAAATGATTTTGATTATTGAGGATACCATTAAAAACTATGGTTTTAGTGTTTTTATGTATAATATTCTCATTTTTGAAATTATCGAATTTACGCGTTGATCACGTGATTTTTCGTTTCTCTGAAAAATCACCGGCGTTATTGTTGTAAAAAAATTACGTAAATTTAAAGAATATTATTCAAAAAATTATAGTTGATACTTTATGGCATTATTTTATTCGATTATGCAGTATTTTTGCAATCAGTTTTGTAGTTCAGTTTTATCGATCGGTTTTGCGGTCGGTTCGGTTTTGGTTGAAAACTGCAGTTTTACAGTAAAACCGAAACCGAACCGAACCGACCGTTGGCATTCCTACACGCGTGTCATACAATTTTATGCTTTGAAATAATGAAATAGCAGATAATTTTTAACAGTCACATGTGAACTTTATAATAATAATTTATCGTGGCTAAAATGTAATTTTAAGCAAAATTGACGCCGAAAAGGATAATTAATAATTAAATTTATTTTACTGTAAGGAGCTGATGCTATGATTTAAGATAAAAAAATGGTCATTTTAACACATTTACTGTATAATAGTAATGCCCAAATCAAATTTCACAACCCGTTTTTGTAAGATCAAAAAATTATATAATTTGATAGTTGCGGATTTATTGATTTAATGACATGATGAATAAATAATTGAATATGTAAGTATATGTGATATGAGATATGATGAATAAATTAAAAGTGAATGTGTAAGGAGACATTATTATAAAAGATTGATTATAAAGGAGCGTGGTTTTGGAAAATTCTAGAAAGTTTGAATAATGTTCTTGAGTAATGCCAAGATTTGCCCTTTAAATCTATTCTAAAGGTTAGAATGAATTTCAAGGGAATGTAAGTTTGAGGTTAATTGCTGTGATTGGTATGAAATTTAAGAGAATTCAAATGTCGTATTATCCACAGGAGCTGCGATTAGTATGAGTTTTCGAATTTAAAGATTAATAGGAGGAGGATGAGGAAGGGGATGTACCAATCCGTTTCTTCGGTAAATAAATAAAGGATATTTTTTATATTTTATAATAAAGTTTAAACGTTTTAATGTTTTTAGCTTGAAATTGAGTAATAAATTTTGTAGTAGGCTGATACGATTGACACTAATATTTAATAATAATTTGATTTATAATAATTTTTGTGAAATTTAATATTTTAAAGAAAAAATTATAAAATTATTTTTCCTATGATGATTTCTTACGCACGCAGTAAAAAGTGTTACATATTTTTAATAATACTAATAAAACTATTTATGGTTGAATTAATTCTTTTTAAAATTAAATTTTAAATAGGTTGAATACTAAAACAGATCAGTAAAATCAGATAGCGGACCTTTCCCTGTAAAATAAGGTAAATATGGACAATGGACTCTTGTTAAAATCTGCATATACTTTCAAAAAAATCTGGAAAGGTCTCAATTAGATAGCGAATTATATGTATTCATATTGGTACAATTGATACACTACCGCATTATACGCGGCTAAAATAAGGAAATAAATCCCTAATGGGGAAACTCTTCAAACTCCGTCTTGTGAAAGGAAAGAAAAAAAAGAAAATTGTAGAAGCTTTAATGATTTAAATAAACAAGGTGTCTGTGTCAGCTTTTTTTAATGAATAAAATTTGTTCTTTCCTAATTTTATAAACTTGGACTATGACTAAAAAGTTCCGTGAATGAAATTTCCTTCGACCGTGCTAAGATTATTTTGTAAACAATGACATTGAAAAGTGATATATAATAATCCGCAGGCATGACCTAAATTTATTGGTCGTTATACGAATTAGTCATTAATAAAGCTGTTTTTCGACTTTAAATCAAAACTTGAACTATATTTCCATTAATTGGTTTAGGTGTAGTGTTCTATGGTGATGAAATCCTTGAAAATTTTGTCATCTTTCAATTTTACTTTTTGCAAGCATGTAGTAGTACTAGAATTTACATAGACTTTAATTGAGGTGCGGAACATTTAAAAGTAATAGAATTAAGACACTCTTTCCTTTGATTCAAGTTGAAGTCGTACATTGAACATTTCCATATTGAGATCATAGCAGAAAATTTTTTAATCAACAAAATGAAACAATAATAGAAATTTTACTGTACATCATCAATGTTTCTAATCAATTCGATATTTTTATAATACTTATAAATTTATAGAATTTATGTGGATTATTACAGATGAATATGAGAATGTGCCTTAATAAATATATTTTATTAAAGAAATATTTGAAATATTTTTAATGGCCAAATTTTTTTATATAATTAATAGGAAATTTAATCTGAAACAATTAACTTTAATTACCTACGGACATTAAATTATAATAATTAATCGATGTTATAAACGTGGTACGTATCACAATTGGGCATTAGAATAAACTTGGTTACTTCGTTAAAGATTGTTCAAATTTTTAAATATTTATGGTATTTATTACCCACAACAAGCTGATATGTGTGACACGTTGTATCTATGTTTAGTTTAAATAGCCTTAATTTGATTTTTTTTTTTGGGTAATATGGCGCCATTCCAATAAAATTTGTTGTAATAAACTTGTGAGTATCAACTTAGTTTGAAATAGAATAAAGAACCGGTCAAGTTTTACAAACAATTAATAAGAGTTTGTAGATCATAATAAATCATAAGAACAATGTTGTCGTAATTCTTGGGTATGAAAAATTCGTGTAACATAATTTCGAAACTTTTGTAACATGATTTCGAAACTTGATCCGATTCTCTTTAATAAGAGTAATCTTAAACATTTTTTTTCTTTAAAACAGTTTTCAACAGATAATCCATCAAAATGATTATAATAGATGATCAATTATAAAAAATCAATCAGTTTAAAAATAATTCGATTTTTTTCTCTTAGAATCTTAATAATAATTATAAATCAATACATATTGGTTTAAACCTAATGAAAAAAAAGGTCTATACACCTGAAATAAACCCCTTAGATGTTATGCATTTCACGTCATGTGTGTACGCCATATAATCAATTATGAAATGTGTGCAATCAAAAACCGCCAATCCGCCGCTAAATTATAGGGTTTTTCTTAAAATATAAAATTGTACAACGCTTATTTCCGAAAAGCCACATTATTAAACACATGTAGTATATGCCGTCATAATATAAATATAAAAGATTTGTGTCACGTAAATCAGTGAAAATCGAAACAAGAAAATCGTTATATTAATAATCAAAAAAAAAAAAAATTTCCCAGTAAAAACTGCAAGAATTTTTTTTTTTTTTTTTTTTTAAAAAAAAAAAAAGAGAAAAGAGAAAACGAAAAGAGAAAGAATATGGCAAAACTTACACATGATTGTCTTTACATTATATTCGAAGAATTGGAAGATGATAATAATACATTATATTCATGTCTTTTAATGAATCGAACCATATGTGAAACAGTTATTCCAATTCTTTGGAGGGACCCATGGAAATTTTGTCAAAACAATAACAAATTAAAAATATTATACAATACAATAATTTCATTATTACCACCAGATTCCAAACTTTTATTAATTAATAATGATATTAATATATTTAATACATTCTCACCAAAACCATTATTTAATTATATATCATATTTGAAAACATTAAATGCTATCGATATAGATAATATGATTAAAGATTTAACAGATTTTCAAAAATATACATATATTAAATATAATCCTAATAATAAATTTTTATTAGGAAAAGAAATTATGAAGATGATTATGAATTTGGGATTAAACTTAAGAATACTTTCATTATATAAATGTAATGTTAAAGAATTTTATAAGTTTCCAGGAGCAAGAGAATGTCTTAAAAATATTGTAAAATTAGAATGTACTATTAATCTTGATCCATCAATTTTTTATGGATTAGCCCAAATTTGTCATAATATTAAATATTTATATATTAATGATTGTATTAGAGATAATGAAGGTTTAGCAACTTTAATTGAAGCTCAAAAGAATTTACAATATTTTACATATGAAAAATTTTATAATAATCATCCTTTATGTAAAAGAATTGGAAATGCTCTAGAAAAGAAAACAGATTCACTTATATCACTTGAAGCATATGGAAATATTGCAATATGTTGTTCTACTTTTACAAAATTAACTAATTTAAAAATATTAAAATTAAAAGTAGATTTATCAAATGGTTGTCAAGAAGAATTTTTAAGATCATTAAGTTTACCAAATCTTGAAAGACTATATTTAAGTTGTCATTCACTTTATACAATATCAAAAATTATTCAACAAACAAAAGGTGAATTATTAGAAATTAGAATTGGTTCTGAAAAAAATATTTCAAGTGAAGATACTTTAATGCTTATTAAATCTATTACTCAACATTGTTCAAATTTAATTTTGGCTACAATAATTTGTTATGATTATAATGATATTAAGGAATTAAAGAAATTATTCTCAGTTTGTACAAAAATAGAAAAATTAGTTTTAATTCATTATACTTTTAATACTAATTATGAATTTTATGATGATGATTTATTAGATATATTAATTGATTGTGCTCCTTTAACTTTAAATTCTTTAAAAGTAGAATGTTTTAATTTTTCTACTGAAAGTTTAGAAGATTTTTTTGAAAAATGGAAATTGAAACAACAAAAACCATTATCTTTTTATAATATATCAGAAGAAGAATATTTTTCTTTTAATAATGAAAAGAAATTGATTGTTAATAAATATATTAAAGAAGGTGTAATTAAGAAATTTGAAGAAATTGATCCTTATGCTAGATTTACTGATTGGGATTAGTGAGATTTTTATTGTTTCTTTTTATGTCATTTTTGTAATTTTTTTTTTTTTAATAAAAAATTTGGTAATGCTAAAAATTGATTAATTTTTTTAATTAAATAAACAAACAATTTCTTATTCGGTCATAGAATGATCGTTAGTTTAGTTAAGCTCCTAACTAATTTCATTTTAACTTTAATAAATTAAATAAACTTGTGCGACATCAGGTATTTTCTCTTTAAAATATATTTTCCCCTTTCTCGTAAATCGATTTTAATTGAAATTGATCTTAAAATTTAGGGATGTGTACTTTATATTGTAAAGAACAAATTTCTTGGACAATAATATATCAGTGAATTACCCGATTTTTATTAATATTTTTCGTAGATGGTAAAAAACTTTGCTGTAAATATATGCATGAGGTGAATGAGGCTTGTACTGATTTCGCGGCGCAGTGAAAATTGTATAATATATCACACGTGACTTTTAAAATTAAACAATTTGATATGTTACAAACATACAAGTCCGTCAAGAAAGGATTGGTCGTACAATATAATAGATCCATACTTTTACATCTTAGATAAATAGTAAATACTAAATACAACGTGTGACCAGTATATGACTGATACAAACATTAGATTTGATTCAAAAATCTGATTCAAATCTGATTCAAAATTTATTATCAAAATTAATCAAATTTTTTAAATTAACACTACACTTTGAAGTCATGATGCCATGATGATACAATATATTTTTAAAATCATCACAATAAATTTTTATGATTCGAAATCAAGTGCTTCTTTATTTCTCGATTTTTTCATCCGAAATGCCATAAATTCTGTATCATAAAAATTAACTTTGCGTCTATGTGTAGAAGGAATTAATCCTATAATAATTATAAAAAAAAAAAAAATTGAATAAATACGAAAAAAAGGAAATCGGAGAATCCTAAAGAATTTATGGTCTTACCAAATGATCTTGCACGTTTAATAGCTTTTGCTAATTTTCTTTGATTCTTTGCCGTCGAACCTAAAATATTTAATAGGTTAAATTTTATGGTTTCCAAAAAAAAATAGAGACGTCGTAACGGTTTGATTTACCTGTAACTGATCTTGGAAGAATTCTACCCATATCCGAAACAAAATTGGAAAGTAATGTAAAGTTCTATTTTTTTTTATTGAAAAAAAAAAAAAAATCTATATAATTGTTCCCAAAAAATCAACCGTTATTAAGGAAATAGAATACCTACCTTATATTCAATTAATGGATTGAGTCTTAATGCATTAAATGTATCAACAGTTGGCGGTTCCCATCTACTCATACTTTTCCTATTCTTATAATTATTTTCATTTAAATCATGTGGTGCATACAACTGTATCATAAGATTAATTTATATTAATGATTCGTAAATAGTTTTAGGTAAAAGAATATAATAATAAAATATATTATAATTTATTACGTACTTCACCGTATCGAAAAGTTTTTCCATATCTAACTTGTGATTCGATTGTATGAGTTCGATCATCTTTAATATTAATAATAATATATTAATTTATAACTAACAGACTTCCAAAATAAAAATTTTAAGAATTAATCATTATTTCCCGACTCATTACTACTGATTCTCGAAGAATTTCCATAATTTTTGAATGAGGATCTTGTTCACCTAACCAAGAATTTATTATTAAATAAAAAAAAGATAAATTTTAATAAATAAATTCTCAATTTAAAACCAAGATTAATAAGATTAATTACCGGTATTACTATCACCAACATTATTACTACTACTAGCTTCACTATCAGAAGAGTTTAATGAAATTTGACGGTATGCCCCCGAAATTAATGGAAAAGAATTACGAAGACTCGACGCATTACTACCAGTAATAACTTTCACTTTTGTCAAAGGTCGAAGTAATGGTAAACTTTTTTTAGAAAAAAACGTAAATCGATACATTTGAAATCTTTAAATAATAAAATTGAAACTAAAATTTTTTCTAAAATCTAACAGATCTTGATTTATATCATGTGATACGGCATATATATTAATAATCGCCCTAATCACTTTCATGACTTCATGTAATTTATTTGCTAGCCCAAACACCCAAACACCAAACACCCAAACACACACACACCGAGAAAATTTGAATTCTTATTACAATTTATAATTATGGATTATAATTCTATATTAGAAGCTATGGGAAGTAATGACGATGATGATAAATTTTATGAAAATTTATATGAAGTGCTTGGATGTTTTCCAACAAGTACAGTAAAGTATCCTATGTTAACTATTTCGTTCTTATAAATGTTTTTATTTTGAATTAGTTTTATTAATCTAAAATTCAGACGGAACAAATTTCTACGGAATACAAAAAACGTGTATTACATTGTCATCCGGATAAAGTTATTAATGAACGAGATAAAAAAGAAGGTATTTTAATAATATTTCCTCTTTATGATATATGATCTGGTACTAACTTTTTATTAAAAAAAAAAAAAATTATAGCCGAAGAACAATTTCAAAAATTATCTACAGCATACAACATTCTTAATGATGAGAAAGAACGTAAATATTATGATAATTGGAGAAATGGATCTATTAAAATTAGTTATAAAATGTGGAGAGAATTAGTTATTAAAAAAGGACATGTACGTTGAATATTTATTATTTTTGAAAAACGTTAAATAATGTTGGGAAAGTATTAATATGAAATTTTAAATAATTATAGGCAGTTCATTGGCAACCGCCTCCTAAAGAAACACTTTCAATCACAGATAACAGCGATAATAGTTCAACAACTAACAGTACAGTATCAACATCTGCAATGGAAAATAATATACCGATAAATAACAAATCATTTTGGAATTTTACTTCAAGTGGAAATCGAGATTATTTATATGAAAAATTTAGAAATTATGAAATATGAGATTTGTATATTTATTTTGTTCGAATAAAGAGAGTATGATGATAGAACTAGAACCTGTCTAGCCATATAATGATAAAATATATATTTCAAATCAATAAAATTGAAAAAAAATCCTAACTAAATATCTCCAGGCAATAAATTTAATCTTGATGACTGGGAGGATGTCCAAAAAAAATTAAAATTTGTTGTTTTGTAATTTCCATCAAATCATTACCACCATACAATAAAGTATCTAAAACCCATTCAGCACTTCGACCAAGAGCTTTTACGAGGAATACAATACAAACAACCGAGAAAACAACACCGAATACAATTCCAAAAATTAAACCCAGACCTCCACCTACTAATGATAACACAAAGGGAGTAGCTAAGCCTCCGATTGCTGCTAACATACCAAATATAACAGGTCCAATAAAAAGAGACACAAAGGCTGCAAATATCAATGCACATAAATAAAAATAATGCCATACTGGATGTTCTTCTCTTAATTCCTTTGGTCTCATAATAAAATAAGATAATCCTTTATCAGCAGTGGTAAAATCAAAGTTTCCAGAAGAGGAACCACGTACTAATGCATTTTTATCCTCATAATTTGCTAAAGTAAGGGCAATGGGCGAGAGAAAGGGAGGAATGCGTTAATTCTTCTGAAATATTCGCCAAATTACGAACGAATTCTTACCTGTCATAATAGGATCGCTAAAATTATTTGATTTAAATGTAGTTTCCATTTTTAATCCGAAGGGTAAATTTATTTCTATTAGCAAAGATTATTCAAATTTTATTTTTTTGACTGAAAAAAAAAACTCGAGATATGCGATATTTATATTTAAACTTTTTCCATTTAATTATATCCCTTTACAAGTGATAAGCATGCTCACTTGCATGAAGAAATACTTTGTCCCAAAAAATATCTCATGTTATCATATAAAGAATTTCTTATGAATTGCACATGAAAATTTTATAGGAATACATTTTTAGTAATTTGCGTGGCAACGGCAAAATCTCAGATTTGTGTCGCACGGGAACTACATGGGATCAGGGATCTTCAAATTTTTTTTGTACAAATAAATACAGCTTGTGTACAGCTAAATTTAACACGGTGATATAAAATATGAAAAAGTATCGTGATTGAAATATGTTACAATGTGTTTAAGTGTCTCTGGTAATAATCTTACAAAAAAAATGTAATTGTATATTATGTATTTTTTTTTCTTTTCTTTTTCCTACTTTTGATGTATTAAATCTTTTTTTAATAAAAACGGCATTGATTTGAACGAATATGTTTGAATTAATATCAGATATCAAATTATTAACCACCACTTTTGGAGCAGTATATAAAATTCTTAACCATTGACGTTTAAAAACAATAAACAATTAAAAATCTTATAATGGTAAATAATCCGATGTAATAACACAATAAATGATTTCCTTTCGCCTTACCTCTTGTACATAATAAATCTCTTCATAATCTTTCTCACTTAATTTTTCAAACAATAATAACAAAAATTTGAACAATATCACAACTTTTAGAACTAAATAATCCAAATTCACTTTCAATTCTATAACTAATTTCAACTTTATTTACTGTACACTCTTTAACATCAGATTTACTTATAATAAGATCTCTTAATGTATCTCTTTTTTGAAGTAGAAATTGCAAATCAGTTAAATCATTCTCCAAGCTATCATCTTTTTCTACTGATGATGAGTCGGTTGATAATCGAATCCACTCATGTGGATCATTAATATGTTCTAATTCTGTTGTAATATTTTTTGTTATAATATTGTTTGGTGTTAGATAAAACGTTATTTGATGATGTCCACGTTTTGCATGACGTTTTAAATAAGGTAAAATCACATCTGAAATTAGGGTATCAATTCTTTATATCCACCCCAGAAAGTAATAAAATATGTTAGAAACTATTTGTAAAATTAACTTTTTTTATAAAAGAATTAATTATACCTTCTGAGAACAGCCAACGTTGCCGCATCCCTCAATGTAACTCCATCGGAAGCTGAAAATTCATTCAAAGCTTGTTCATAAGAAGGCAAGGCATCCTCAATTATGGAAGCATTTTTGTCTTGTATTAATAAATTAATATCATCACCAAGGCCAAATTCTCTCAATTGTAATTCAACAATTTCCCTTGCAACATCTTTTGGTACACATAATCGTTTATACCGAATATAATCTAATATTACACTAAATGCAAACGGATTATGATCAAGACATATTGTTTGTGTAGAAGATTTGTTTGAGGTAAAACGGGAAGAGAATGAAGATGAGGATGATGACTTATTTACTAGTTTGTATAAAATACTATTGGGATATGCATTAAAAGAATCTTTTGATATTTCAAATGTTGTTCCTCCAACATTAAAAATCACAGTCTTTTTAGACATTTACGGGTGAAAAAAAGCGAGAAAGAGTTTATGACAAATAAAGCAAAGCAACTTGATTATATGATTGAATGAGGCGTCAATTACATCATTATACAGATAAGGAATTGCTTAAATTGGTAAGTTTTTAAGTTTTTATTCAAATTAAAGAATATATTTATTTTAAGAATATAAATAAGTTTTAAGAATATTAATCCAAGTCATGTGACTAATATATATATCATTTATTTGCAACATATAGCCCGCATACAAACAAGCTTACAATTGTTCGAAATCTAAATGTATGAAGTATAGAAAATATACCAATCCCAACCATTTTTATTTTTGGTTTGAATTTTTTTTTTCTTTTCGCAGATGATGCAATTTTTTGAGTCCCCATTGATGTCACGTCAAAAACATGACCCAGTAGCATTTTTGATAAAGAAATCAATTCTTTTTTAATATTATTGGGTTATTTCGATAATTTTCCCTCCTACTTATCCTGTTTGCGGAGAAGTGAAATCATCATATGAATTTTCAAAGAATTCTCTCAAGCTCTTTCCAGTACTTCCGGTGATTTGTTCTAAATCTCTTGTAACCTGCACTTTTCTAGCGGTTCCTAAATATCCTTGTAATCCCCATAATTCTAACAAATATGCAACTTCTTCTTCATCAGATGTCGTTTCCATCAATACGTTTTTTAACTGCTTAATAGACATAAATTCCACTTTAATCTCTCGTTTAAGGCCTAAACTGGCTTTAATAGCAATCTCGTCCGTTGTTAACAAATTAGGTCCAGTTATCTTGTACTCTTTACCACCATGTGATTGTATGGGACTAACCAATATACGACATGATGCACGTACAACATCACTAATATCACAACATTCGAACGTCATGTATGAATTGTCAATTAAAGGCATTTTTGATTTTTCCGTAATATAATTTGCAAAATATAGTAAGTGTTGGTTTAGTACCCCAGGATAGCGGAGAATTGTTATTTCTGATCGTGAAAAAGATTCTAGTAACGTTGATTCAATAGCTTCAAATTGTTCTCGATAAGATCGCATATTTGTACGTTCTTCATTATCATCATCAACAGGAGTTAATGGAGGTGAATAAGGTGCTTCATATTTTGAGAATGGTGTTGGAAACACGATGTGTTCAATGTTTGCTTGCTTAGCTGCATTTATATATCTATTATATAAAAGAAGATAAAATTAGAAATTTATTTAACTAAGATTTTATTTGTCAAAAATCTTACCCTTTTGCAAAAGCAAGAGCATCTTTCTGCCTGATTTCACCAGATAATGGATCGATTAATAAAAATAATTTTGACACTTGCTTTAGAGCATGTATGGCAGAGTCAGGATTATTAACTGGATCAACTTTTACAACCAAAGCGTTTGTTGAAGGTTGTTCTGTCTCGTGATGAACTCCTGCGTAAACTTGAAAATTTGAATTTTGTAATATAGGATAAAGTTTTGGCATTTCCAATAACCCTTTTACAATAGAGTCGCCTTTTAATACAAAAAAAAATATTAGAATGTTTATCTTATTAATATTTATGATAATTTTTTTTTTTTCGTGAAATATTACCTAACATTCCATCAGCTCCAGAAACGTGAATACCAATTTTCTGAGTCATTTTTCAATTTATTAACTTTTTTTAAAAAAATTTTTTTTAAAAAAATATTATTATTATATATTAACTTTTTTGTGTGAAGAAAAAAAAAAATTTCGCAAAAAAAAAAAAAAAAAAAAAAATGCCAACAAAAATCTACCTGTATTTATATCATTTTAGCAGTTACCCATCAGGTTTTTACATCAAACAGCCAGGGAATCACGATGATCTAATTGGCTAATTGATAATGAATAATCATGATCTATCAATGATTATGCAAGGGAGAATTTGAAATTTAATCAAATTTATCATTTCAACTATATCCCTTGTGACTTTGTTGTTGTTATCTTATCAAACATAAATATTTCTTTTATCTCATAAATCGACACCGGATACCCGGGAAAAGGATATTCTTTCATTTAACGAATTAATTTTTTAAATTGCAAAATATATGGGATAATATTAATTTATTACTGTAAAAGAGAAAAATGATTGCTTAGGAATTATTTATATCAAGCTTTTAACCAAATGCTGATTTGTTACGTAATAATACTTAAGGAGTGTGCCGAAAATCTTGCTATGCCACCTGTAATATTGGGCTGTTAAAAGATAAAGAGTGTTCCGCGTGAACTCTTTCCTTATCTTGCATCACACACATTGTATTTTACAAAAATAAAAAAGGAGAACAAAGATGATCTGATAACGCAATTGCAACACATTTGAAGATCTTTGTCAGTTACTACAATATTACATAAAATGATATAAACATACATTTCATTGTTAAATTCCAACTTTGTTTATTGGTAGAAAGCAAAGCCCAACTCTTTTAATTCCTTACTTGATTTATTTTATTCATTAAATTCATTCAAAAAAAATTTTCAATGCTTGTGTGATCATGTCGTGTGAAGATTTCCATCACAAGTAAGCTTATAAGATCACATGAATTTTCAAAAAAAAGGGCTAAATTAGCATCTAAATATAAATATAAGACAAATATTTTTCTCTCTTACTCATCAATGTAAATAATGAGTACTCATGATACTCATAATCATGATGGTAAATCATGTTGTTCCCATAGTTCAACACCAAATCTATACGCTCAAACATTAGATGAATTAGATTTTGAAAAATCCATTCATTATGCTTGCTTAAACAATGATATTAATCGAGTGAAAACCATTATTTCCAAGAAAGGTGGTTCTACAGTAAATGAAATTGATAGTACAGGATATACACCATTAGTAAGTATAATCCCATATAATCAGTTTATTATAAATTTTTTTCTTAATAAGTTTCCACTTTTTTTTTCGTGAAGCATTATGCGGCAAGAAAAGGTTATTTAGATATTTGTCGTATATTAATAGATTATGGAGCAGACGTTAATGCTATAACACCGGAATTATTTTCAACTGTAAGTTCATATATTCTTAAACGTTTTCTTGAATATTTCAATTAATTATGCTCGTATAATAGCCTTTACATAGAGCATCAACTTATAATCATTCAAAAGTTGTCACTTCATTATTATCATCCGGTGCAAAACCCGAATTACAAGATTCCGATGGTAAAACTTGCTTGCACAAGGCATGTGAGAATGGTTCAAAAGATGTTATTTTAACTCTAAAAAAATTAAATGATTTTGAGTCATTATTAAGGATTAAAGATAAAAATGAGAGAATCGCTAGTGAATATTGTAAACATGAGGAAATCTTAAAACTATTTGAATGATTAAATGTGAATTTGGAACTATTCAAATTGAAGTAAGTTGGAAATTTTTAAAACTAATTTAATATATTCAAAATTATTTATTATCCTGTTTCAATCGTCTATTGTTATTTGAAAAGGAATTTAACCATTATTTTCTTCCTTAGAAATACTTTAATCACAAACCAAGACTGAAAGGGTACTGTCCCCACTTATTCATCGATCAATCTTTAGATTCATGAGAATCAATATATACTTTTATATGCTTTTGAAAATAAGCAGTGTATAGTACGATTTTGTAAAATAGCATGTAAGCCACAATTTTGTCTTGTATGTACAATTTTAAATACAGTATCATTATATGATTGGCTTTTAATTAAAGCCAAAAAATAACAAACAAAAAGCAAAAATGGAAAAGAAGGAAAAGAAAATGAAAAGGAGAAAATAAAAACAATCTGCTTTGTACATTTGATAAAAACAAATTCGAAAATTTTGGTCAAATCAAAATATAAAATTTCCATCATATTTAAATTTTTTTTACCATATAACTGAATTAAATACTGTATATTTTAAGTATAATTTAAATATCTGGACAAAATACAAGTACATAGTGAAATTCAATATAACAGAACCATCCATTCCAGTAAAAATATCTGGTATATCGAAATTTCTGATATATCAAAAAATTTTAATATACTGGATTCCATTATATCAAGTTTTTATTTGTACAACATATATAACAAACATTAAAAATTTAGATTATTTTTTATTTAAAACATTATTTGAGAAATTTATATATTGAAATTAACTAAAACTTAAAAAAAATCATCTATCCTACCCTATTTTTGCTTTTCTTATTTTACTATTAGACATATTTTCAATAAAAAAATTTGTGATTAAAATGTAAAAAAAAATTTCATGTATAATTTAATTTATTTAGGGGTTTCACATATTAATATTTCCAAATAAACAATCTTATTTAGGAAATTCTATTTATATTACAACCTTATAAAGTGTTCAATATTCAATATTTTCAACATTTCTAGTTAATATTTTCAGAAAAATTTCATTTGGGTCTTCAAAGCTTATGTATTTTACTAAAATTTCTTAAAAGATCATTATATTTGCTGCTAATTTTATTGGTTTAAAACCATAAATCATCACATATTCTAGTAAATTGAATAATTTTTAATATAACTGATTTGTTGTTTGTTCCATTATAGTCATTATTGAAAATTTACTAATAAATTCTATTATATTAAATTTATTTTAATATATGTGATTTGATTCTGAAAAAAAGTTTTAATATAAGGCCAGTTCTGGTTTATTGAAGTTCCATTATATCAAATTTCATTGTATAACATTAAAAGTATATTCAAGAATATTTTAAAATTAATTGCTAATTTATTACTTACCAATACAAATAATCGGCAAAACTAAAATGCTACTTTTCCAAATAGTAAAAGTTCATTAATTTCTAACCAAATTATTCAAAATTTTTACTGAAAAAACTTTGAGATTGAGACTTTTTTATCCAAAATATTTAATATAATTTTATAAGGAAAAAACTTTACAAGTAATTTCTAAACATTGCCAATTAGTCAAATTTTTAGCAAAATCCTATTTAATAATAAAAATATTAGCTAGAAATTTCAAAATTAACATATATATTCTCAAATATATATTATTAGATTTCAAAAAAAAAACTAATTTAAAAAATATGAAATATTTCATAAATTAGAATTAACAGTTTAAAAAGGACCCCGGATATCTCCAAAACAGGTCATAAGTCACACTTTCGGCAGATTGGCCTATTTTTCAGGGCTCAAAAAATCGTTTTTTGTAAATATCTCGGCATCCAGTGGTCCAATTTTGATGAACATTTTTTTAAATTGTAGAGCTAAATGAGGGCTACAAAATAAAAAAAAGTTCATTAAAATTGAATTACTGGATGCTGAGATATTTACAAAAAACGATTTTTTGAGTTTCAGCAAAAAGGGGTGTTTTTGGCCAAAAGTCCATTATGACCTTTATATTAGATATCCGGGGTCCTGTTTAAAAATACATTAAATTTCTCAAATTTTGAAAAAATTTCCTTTCAATATTAAATAATTCAATGGGATCAAATTTTTAAAACTTGTATAATTAATGCAATACTTCTTAAATGGATATCCTAATATATACAAAGTGTTTATTTTCAGATTATTAAAACAATATTTTGCTGAACATAGACATATCATTAAGTAACAAATCAATTAATACTTATTTTAAGTATATTTTAAATATAAATATACCTTTTTTGAAAATTATTATATAGTAAATTTGCTAATTATTTATAATCATGTGATATTATAAAATTTTATTTTTTTTTAAAAAATAAATATGATTTAAACCTTATGTATTTATTATAGAATCTTTAAAGTACATATTCTATATATATTTTTGCCTGTTCTACAATTTAATTTATAAGACTAAAAAGAGTTTAAAATACTAATTTTGACTTTTATATATCATAATATAAGAGGTGTATTACTATGCATCACATATAAAATTTAAATCTTAAATACAAATATAATTAAATTTTATTAAGAAAAATTATATTTAATTCATTTAAATATAAAATATTACAAATATATTATTCTAATATAATTATTCAAAACTATAATAAGCTTAAAAAGCCAATATATATGGATTAAAATATTAATTAAAAGTAACAAATGAATAACTTTTAATTTTTAGTTTAATTATTTAAATATAATAAATATTAGCTAAATGGTTTTGGTATAAAATTTCAAAAATCATTTAATATAAGATCAATAATAAAATTTTGACAATCCAAAATCCTAACAAATTATTATACTAACAAGTTGATAACTTGTCAGGATTTTGTATTACTAAGATTTTGGCTTTTTGAGATTTTGCTATATTAGTTATGCAAATGACTGTCAAGATTTTAATTAAATACCTAGCTAAATAATATCCTTTTATAATTAATATTATTTTATTAGAATATTTATTATTATTATTTTGAATTTTAATCATCAATTACTTATAATAGAGAAAGAATGAATAGAAAATCAAAATTTACTTTTTTACTTCATATAATTTAAAAAAGTTTTTTTGTACTAAAATAACTTATACTAATTAACCAAAATGCAGATAAATCCTGTATGATAAAGAGTTATAAAGTTGCAATAACCAGTTAATTATAGGTAGTAAAACCAAATAGCGAAATTTTACTTTTAAAAGTATGTTTTAATAAAAAAGAAATTAACGTTTTTCTTAATTTTCCAAATGCATTTTTTCGTAATTATACTAATTGTAATAAAGGCTTCTTATTGTAGGAAATATCATAAATACAATTTATAACCCTGAAAGATCGAACATGTTCTCATGTAACAAAACTAATGCTCAAAAAGACTGCTCCAAATATGATGATATCTACTCTATATCAAATATTCCAGGACATATTTTATTTTAATATACAATAAAGCATAAATAATAAGTAGCATTAAAGTTTTTTTTATTATGAATTTAAGCAAATCCGTTGATAAGATTTTCGTGATAAGAACAAATTTTCATTCCTTGGACCTATTACAAACAGTGATATAAATTGAGGTAACGCAAACACAAAATTTTCAAAGTTTTTACATTTTGCGCGTAAAAATTTTTTGAATTTATATCATTAACTACAAAACATATAAAGGTGAGTCTCTATTTAGTGGATCCTTTAATTCACCTATAATAAAATAGAAATTTAGAGTACAGTATTAACTTACCATCTATACATCAAAATCATCATCAACCAAAACATTTTTAAAACATTTTTAAAATCGTCGGATAGTTCTATAAATAAGAATTATACGCACTGGCCATTTTGATTTCAAGAATCCGACACGCAAAATTTCGATTTCGAAATGTCACTGCGCAAAATAGACATGACTACGATTATTTGAATTTCTTAGCAGTATGTCCGAAGTTATGACTTATGAGTACCTAATAAAGTAATATTTTTGATCAGTATATACGGTAATAAAATAAAAAAAACAATAATGTTAGAAGAAACAACCAACTCACAAACCCACAAACCTCATCCGCACCACCCACAGCATCCAAGAAGTATTAGAATAGATTTTTTTCAAAATAAAATCGCTTTAATGCCAAGTGTTCTACCAAAAAGAACTATAATAATTTTCTTCGGATATTCGGAAGAGTGGTGAATATTCCATTACCTCATTGTAATTTCCGGAATTTATATTGTCAGTTCGAAATTATTTCTTATCAAAAAACTTTTTAACTTAATCCTCAATTCAAGCATTAAAACGGATTGTTCTTATCACATAAAGGAACTCGTCTTAAATGGAAGTATAGACTATGGTATTGTAAAGCAGAAATGGTGCAACTCCGGTTAGGGACTTAACCCAGTCTTTCAATTCAAGTATCATAACGTGGGTTCCGATGGGAAGCAAGTTTCTTGACTTCACTAAAAACAAATCGTGCATAAAAAATTTTTTGCGCATTTGTAATGAAGATCTGAGTTACACCGGGTAATGAATACGCGTTTTTCCTCGCGAATAACCCTTATCCGTTATAACGAATCATGCAAAGTATATTTTTACTGATAATTTTTTCCAAGATAATAATAGAAGGGAGATATCGTGAATAGATGAAAGAGATCATTGAGGAGTCGAAAGTTAGTAAAAAATAGTTACACGTACATTGAAAAAGTTTACGTCGCTGAATCTAGATACATAGAACTTATATATGGTAATATTAATTTCTATCTAAGTATTACAAAAAATATCTAATATATCTATAAAAGTAATAATTACATCAATTACATCATATAACCTTTTTGAGTTGGCCACTATCGGATCGAGAACTATATAAAGGCACGAATATAATTCTTCTCGTAATATTCCTCAAATATTATCTTCTCATGGAAAAAATAATAATTACTACAACAAATAAAGACCTCCTGAAAATATTATACCATCAATTATTAAGAAATTTAATCATCCTACAAACCATTTCCATATCAGACATTTCTTATATGAGAGGTTTCATAAGAATCCATCGTAGAGAAATATTCAAGTTTCTTCTGAAACCTGAGTGGACAATAACCACTTTAAATAAAGCTAATGCTAGAAATTATGGTAATTTTTGTCATTTTTTTTTAATTGAATATCAAAAGTAAAGGTGCTTGATTAATTTTTAATTTAATAATTTAGTAGGATTTGTGGTTAAGTTTCATAAGTCAACATTAATGAATTCTCCAATGCCTATAACAGATGATTTTAGCTACAACTAATTTTATGCATCCTTTCGCTAGATTTGTTACCGTACCATTCCGAAATTGAACAACCCTCCCCCCCTCGAAAAATAAGCAACCCTGGCCCCGCGTTATGGAGATTTTGGCCGGAATTAAGTTCAAAAAATGGTTGTTTAATTTCGGAATGGTACGGTATTTTAAGAAAATAGAGATACGT